AAGAGATGCACTGTGGGACTGATAAGCCTATGGCATGTAGCCTGTCCCCTTCAGTTCCTCTTGGAGCTCAAGGATGAAGGCAACAGAGAAGACAAAAAGGCCTGGCAGACAATCGATCCTCTAACAACCTTCCGACGCATCCAGATGCAGCCATGCCGTAAGTCAGCTGCAGCACTGGTCTTCTTAGCAAGAGGGGCCAATTAGTTCCCTCCATCTTTTCTCTCTTTCTTGTGCTTTCGACAATTTATGTTGGGTTTTTAGAACTCACGAAATCTCCTGACACGTAGGAAGGCAATAACTAAGGACTAGGAAATAACCAAGTGGCAGTTGCAGGTTGGCAGTGGGCAGTCCAATGCCACTGAGCAAACAGGAACTAAAAACGTGTCATCCATGTGCAAAACCACAAAAAATAACCGAGAGGCCACTTCCCACACAAGAGCCAACCTCCTACTATCCTTAGAAGAGGAAGGGGTTTCTGACCAGGAATTCAAGTCTAGGCCTCAATTATCATGATCTTTAGATCCTTTTCTTTAGTATGAGCTGTGACCTGCCGTCTTATCCTAGGTGACTGATATATATTTGTCAACTCATATAACAAGTGAATCTATGACTGCAGAATTACAAGGGTAGAAACACTTCGGCCACTAACAAAAGTTTTAAATGGGTCAAACTGGGACACTGCCATTTTCCTTTTTGACTCACAAATTAACACGTGTTACCACAAGTGTCAACAGCAATTTTATTGTTCAATAGACTTTATAAACATAACTTGTATTTACAGATGTTTCTCGGCTATTCTATAGTTCAGGGAAATTGGCAGTAAGGTATTTATGAACCCTAGCACTGTGCGGAAGGAGAAGAAACAGAATTTACAAGTGGTTTCTGCCACACTCATTCTCTCTCAATATATAAATACCATAAGGCAAAAAAAATCAAAAAATAAAAGATATTATAAGGAGTGGCTTATAAAGAGAACAAAACCCAGTATCACTAATTCAAATCATAATACCTGGAAAAATATAGTTGCTTTATCTTAAATAAAGCATTGTTGCTCCCAATGGCTGCTATCTGGAAGCAATTTTGGACATCACTTTTTAAAAATTTTAAGAATTTTGGGACCAGCAGTTGGCGTAATGGCTGTGTCACTGGACTCCCATGCAGTCAACCACGGTTCAAGTCCTGGATCCAGTGGCTTGGATTTACGCCGGGCGCGTGTGCATGCATGCCCAAGATCCTAAGAAGGGATTGTGGTGTGGACATTCTCCCCTGGGGTGGGGTAGGGGGGTTGTGTGTGTGTGTGATTTTTCACTTTCTGTCTCTCTGTCTCTGTCTTTCTGGCAAGTGTGCATGCGCCCTATAGCAAAAACCTCTCCAAGAAAAAAAAAAGAAGAAAAAAGTTTAAGAATTTTAATTTTCAATGACCACATAATTTTCTTGAGGGAAACTGAAGCTGAGAGACTAAGAAATAGATTCATAGACTTCCATTAACCATGAAGTTATTTTCTCCAAAGCCAACTGCAGGTGACACCAGACCTATCTAAGGGTGGCTTCACTACAATATTTGTATCCTGGTTCATAAAGACAGACAAGAGATTATTAACAATATGAAGACCACATAAAACCGAAGACCTACAGCAGCTCACCTCTGTTTCTGCGGGGCTTGAGTGAGAGGAAGTAACTAGAGCCAAACAGTCCTCAGTACCCATCTGTAAATCATGGAGCACTTGGACGGACAGAGGCTAGCTATGAGCATGTTCCACTAGTACACGGTATCCACGTAAAACATGTCAGTATCAGACACACAGGGCAATGTGTTCAGTTCAATGACTGAATGAGATTATGACTATATTTATGCGATATCAAAAATGCAGGGCAATATAGACTAAAATGTTTTTAACTGACAAGACAACACAGGTAAGGGAAACATTGAGATACACTGTAGAGGCATTCCACTTTGGCTCGGAAAAGATACACAGTATCATTTACTTACAGACTTTGCCAGTGTTCTAGCTCCATGTGGGACGACCCCAGTTTTAGTCATACTTTAACAGTACAAATTAAACTCACTCCATTCTCCTTATAAGGCTAAGAATCTGAACTAAAGTCAACAGTAATATGGAAAAATAAGAATCAAGAGGGTAACGTTTCCTCAGCAGCCATTTCTTCTGTTTATAGAGTCACGTGTATAATAACACAGGGGCCCAATCACCAAGCTGCAGTTGGCTGTAATGGACACCAGTTTTTAAAAATTAGAGTCAGTGTGTGCATGTCACTGATTTAATACACAGGGATATGAATAAGGGTTAAAAACCTACTTTATTGCAAGTTTCATATTGGGATTATTTTAAAAATCACTCTCATTCTGTTAAATGTAATATTATCAGAAAAACCACTCTCATTCTGAAAAAATAAATAAATAAATAAAATGGGTAAACAGAGGCTCTTATGATTGTTCCTGCCCTGGTAAGTAGGTTTTTCACTTTCAGTGCAACCCTCAATAGATTTTGTAACTGTTTCTATGACACTGCAACTTAGTGCCCACTCTCACAGGGTGGTGTGAAACTCTGCATGAAAAAGGCACCCGAGAACCAAAGGCATGAACAGTGGAAAGTGTAAAAGAAGAGAACAAAACAAAGTCGTCCTTACTTTAGAAATGATTGGAAATCTTCGCATACTGCTTCGCAGCCGGGCCACTTGCATACACCGTGTCCATAAAGAGGGTGGCTATGGGGGTGCTCCTCGTGAGGCAAACTGCAAGGACAAACCAAAAGACAGCAGAGTGAATTAGCTGCCGAGACCCACCCAACTTGATGACCACACAAGAGGCAAGAGAAGTCACGCTGACCAATGTGAATCTGAAAATGGGTGAGTTTCTTTTCCCATGACCTTTACTAATTAATCAGTTTGTTTTTTTTTAAGTTTTTGCTATAGGGCTCATGCACTCACCAGAGAAAGATATGGGGGGTGGGGGGGGATGGCCACGCCAAAATCCTTTCTCCCGTCTCCCCTTGTGATTTTGGGCACACACACACACATACATGCCCGGCATATTTCCCAAGCAGCCAGGTCCAGGACTTGAACTGTGCTGTTGGCCATGTAGGGTCCAGACACTTTAACCACCATGCCATTTGTCTGGCCCAATCTGCATTCTATTTTTTTTTTTTTTTTTTTTTTACAAATGAGAGTAAAAATTGTACCTTTCTGTGTTTGGTCAAATGATAGAAATGTACATGTTTGAATGAAAAGTGTTTGACAAGCTTTTGTTAGAGGCAAAGCTCTCGGACTGTAAAGGAGTCTTTAAAATGCCTAGAACTTATCATTTAATCTACATAATGAAAATTAGAAAATCTGCCCTTGATTTTGAGATTCTCTTGATAGAGTTTCTTCCCAAACTATTATACATTTCCCCCTCTTCCCTTCCCCAGAAACTGTGTTCAGATAATCACATCATTTTTTCACTAATTTTATCCAGCAAAGAACAGTACAATTAAATAATTTAGAATAATAATAAAAGGACCATTTAGAAAGACAAATATATCCAATTAGATGATTAGGTTGGGGGGATGGGGGGGAAGCTAATAGCAGCCGGAAGATTACAGTCCTAAAATAACCAACACCGAGAGAGAGAAGAAAGTTGGCATGAACGTGAAGGGTTAATCCTCCAGTGGGGTTCCAATCAATATGTAATGATCTGGCCACACAGATCCAAGTCATGGGGAGCTTTGATCTGCGCCATGTGGTGCTGGGAAGAGTATCTGTTGCACTCGCTGATGAACCATATTCTCAAATATTTTCTCTATTAGGTTTCTGCATCCAGACTTCTTTCAGACAGATTTCACAGCTGTTCCCACAGCCTTGGCTTCCACCAGACACAAGGGTAAAACGGACGCTGGGAGTTCTGATCCATGCTCAAGCACACTCTTCCCGGAGGGGCCACTTTGCAACTGCCTCCACCTGACTCTGAACACGTATGTGCACACACGAGGGGCCTGGATTTTACACCTTCCCCTTAGGATGTGCGTTTATATATTTTATTTATTCACATTCGTATGGCATATGTACACTAATGCCACATGTCCCTGATGCATGAGGTCATAAATTCGCAGTGAGAATATTATAAACTCGTACACTGAGGAGCATGGATCGTGAACACTCATACACACAGACCAATAGCTCATCTAAGATTGGGTCTCCCCATGGCTTTTGAGCGATTTTATTCAAAATCTAATATAGTTTGAAAATAATAAGCTATTATTCCCTAAAATGACAAAATAAATCTGGGGACCTCCCTCCAAAAAAAAGAAAAAAAAAAACAGAAAAATAACTTTAAAAAGTATTAAAAAAGCACTCCTGATACAAGAAAATAATAAAACAAAAGAACTAAGGTAGCTACAGGGAGATCTATAAAACCCACCAACAGGACATTCTCTAAGCAATTAAGAGGCTAAAAGTCTGTCGGACCTAAGGAAATAATGACTGCCTATCCGTGTTCATCTTCAGATTGCTCATGAATAAAACAGACATGATTTGAAAAATGAAACTTTAAAAAATTACTGACAATATTAGAAACTAAGAATCTTTCACCAGTACTATAATCACATATAACCTGAGAGAAAAAAAAAAAACATTTAAAAAGAAAATTGTTTTATCAACAGCTTTACAAGGAAGAAATACCTAAAATTAAACGTTATTCTCTTTGGCAATTAATTTTGAAAGAGCTACCATACCTTTGTTACGGAAAAACACGGAAACTAAGTCCAAGAAAAAAATCACCTTCAAATACACAAACGTGCTTTTAAACAAATTAGGGTGTAAAGATTTATATCGTTCTTTCCCATTTAAAATTACGTTGGCGATAATTCTGATGTTCTCAACTAGTCTTTAAAAACCGTATTTACTGAAGGGTTATAGTCCATTGAATACCGTCTTCTCTCGTTATGTGCCGATGGATCTCGCCATCCCTCTACGGTGGACGATGAGACTCTCTTTACATTTCTTGTTTTCGTAAACAGTGTTGAAAATCAAGTTTACCAGGCTGCACATCCCGGTGGGAATCTCGCCATCTGTGAGTACTAAGACCTCACATTCACATGCACATGGTGTCAAGTAGGGTCTCGAGAAACACAACACGCCAGGAACGTTCTCAGCCACTATATGCACTTCGTGTGATTCTTCAGCATGGAAACCAGGAGCCTTGTTAGTTCGGACACAAAATAAATACTAGTTCAGACTCCGCACGGCCACCCTGCTGTGCGGGTTAGGCTGCGAGTCTTCTAAAAGCAGCAGTATGGAAGAACAGGATATACATTTGAGAGAGGAATTTATGACTAGAAATAAAACAAAGAGGATCTAACAGGTTTGCCTCCTGTTTCTTGGGTAGCTTATCTGTGAAGAATTCAAGGCTGGAAAGAAAACTACTTTCCTCTAAGGATGAGTTAGTAGTTCAAGTTGGTATCAAAGCAGAGACAGACCGACAACTCCCCAGGGCCTCAGAAGGACAATGGGCTGTATGGAAATCTATGGACACTCCCACTCCTCACACACGAGGTCGTGTCTTCACACTCAGAAGACCTCTTGACACCGGCCTCTTACTTAAAACGATATTCTTCATTAAGAAAAGACTGTATGCTCTTATTTTTTAAAAGTTCACCTAAGCTGGAGCTAACTACTGAAGGAAGTCCCCTCCCTAGCCCACCCTACCCTACCCTACCCTACCCTACGCCAAAGAGCCCCATCCCAGGGGTCACCGTTAATAGGCAGATTACTGCTCTACGTTTTTCTTCTAAGGTATTACTACGGTTTTTCAAAAATGAAAACATACTACACATAGCATTGTTTCTTCCTTTCATTTTAACATATAATTGGACACTTGTAAATATACAATTGCCGGAACGAAGGGCAGTTGTCTCTTAGGACTGGTTTCAGGGCACCCTCCCCACACCCGCCAACATCCCAGGATGCTCAGGTGAAATCCCTTACATAAAGTAGCGTAGCACTCGCACTCTTGCGTGTACTTTCAATCATCTCTAGGCTGCTCATAATACCTAGTACATTGTAAATGCTATGTGAACAGTCATTATACGTATTGCTTTCATGTGCACTGTTTGTTTCTTGTTGTTCTTCCTTTTTTAAATATTTTTGATCCATGGCAGTAGCTTTAATCTGCAGATGTGGAACCCTGGATAGGAAGCGTTCACTCTGCTGGGCTTTGGCAGCAATGAGAGCAGACCAGGAGTAGAAGGACATCAGGCTGGCCTGAAGAGAATTCCTCCAGGGACCAGCAGTTAGCGTAATGGCTACGTCGCTGGACTCCCATGTAGTCGACCATGGTTCACGTCCCAGACCCGGTGGCTTAAAACTTACGCCGGGCACGTGTGCGTGCATGCCCAAGATCCCAAGAGGAGAATGGAGGAGAAGGGATTGCGGTGTGGCCATCCCCCCTGGGGGGTGATTTCTCACTTTCTGTCTATCTGTCTAACGAGCGCATGCACACTATAGCCAAAAAAAATAAATAAATAAATAACAAAATAAAAAAACTCTCAAAAAAAAAAAAAGAGAGAATTCCTCCAGAAAGACATTTCAGAAAGTAACAACAGCTATGGAAGGCAAAGTGATGGCTAAACTGAGTTTTTCACTCTTTTTGTATCCTTTACACTTTTCGTATTGTACATCGTGAAAATTTCTGCTGTGCAACCGTTCATCTTTTGTATGTGTGTGGAGTAGAAAAAAAAAGTCAAGTGCTATGTGTGAGTCAGCCTTCAGACTGCAACTGCCCTGACGACTTGGCAAGTGCCACATCCTCACTGCACGCCTCTCTGAGCTCACTACGGCCTTCCGCAGCCACCGTCTGAAGCACCGTCAGACCACAGCAGCTCCCCCTCTGAAGGAGCTTTCTGTTCCATTCAGAGACTGGAACAGCATTTGTATTCTTACTGCCTTTTGGGTTGGGCCAAAGGGACAAGAAAAGTTAAAAAATTGAGGAAAATGATTTTTTTTTCACTTGAATTAACTTACAACTACATTTACAGAAGGAAAGAGAGTGGGAAAATGACTATCTGAATATCTGATGGTAAGATACAGCCATGAACCTGATCATTGCAATAAATTGTTCAAGGGTAACTCGCCAATGTGTAAAGTGTAACTTCTTAAAAGCTGCCAAGATGAGTGGAGAATAAAGATACATTTGGTTTCTAAGGGATTTAACATGCTTGCCCCAAAATTAAACTTAAAAATTCAGGTCAAGTGTTTCATAAAGTGGTTTTTATTATAAATTCCTGGGTGGAATATGCCTAGGGGCAGAGATGGCTTACCCATCTCCACAGACTCTCAATCTCACATAGAGCATGGCTCAATAAACACCACTGATTTTTTAATGAGCAGATACCAACTATATCATCCCATTTTACTTGTGTGTGAATATGCATTCAATCAGTGTTTGCCTTTTTCTTTCTTTCTATTTTCTTGTAGGTAAAGATTGGAATTGTGCAAAGCTACCTGAGAGAACGCCATTATGACACTTTCTACTATCCCATCTTATTCCAGTTATAAGAAACACAGGTAGTATGTATTTGAGAAAAGCCAGTTGATTTAAATTTTTCTTGATAAACCTTAATATGTCAAATGTAAATATAATTTTAACATAATACTAGCAATAGGATTGCAGATTAGAAAAGACCAGTGGCCCTGGACAGTGTAATTATAAATCAATGTATCCGATACTAATTCCTGACATTACATGATACTCCACAGTT